ATCAGCCAGTGTTGATGTCGCGACTGTACAAGACGCAAATATCCTAAAGTAAAATAGCTGAACGTGTAAATATTCCTGAGTAGGGATGCAACGATACCACTTTTTTCCAAACCTATACGAAACCGATACTTGGATCTGAGTACTCGCCGACACCGATTACCGATACTTCTACCACACAAAAAAATGCAATGATTTGGAATACAGGTTTTATTTCTTCTCTGCTTTCGACAGCAAAAGACTGTGAGGTAGATAAAAAGTAAAATATATGAATAGAAATCATCACAAAACTAAAATATTAGGTGAACAGAAATGACAAGTTACAGTGAAGCCATTTTCAAGCAACTGCATTGGTATCGGTTAACTTTAAAGTTACAGTTAAAGTCCCATTAGTTGTCACACACACAGGTGTGTGTGCGAAATTTGTTCTCCGCATTTGACCCATCCCCTGGGGGAGCGGTGAGCTGCAGACACAGCCACGCTCGGGAACCATCTGGTGGTTTAACCCCCCAATCCAACCCCTTGATGCGGAGTGTCAAGCAGGGAGGCATTGGGTCCCATTTTTTTTTAAGTCTTTGGTATGACCTGACCAGGAATTGAACCCTGATCTCCCAGTCTCAGGGCGGACACTCTACCACTAGGCCACTGAGCTTTTAGCGATACAGATACTGGTACTTATTCCTGAGCTATGCTTTTCACAGACGTGTGCGATGAGGCTTGTTTCCTGCTTCCATTGCAAAGATAGCCGAGATAAACAGTCTGTAAAAGGCAGATAGGTTTACTCGGCGCCCTTTTATCAGAAAAGCAAACATCCCTGTGCCAGTGTTCGTCAGAGATCTAATGTTGGTTTTAAAAGCCTAAACCCTCGCCCAGTTCCAATCAGAACAAAAGCAGAAGTGATGCACGATGTGAGAGGATCCGGGTGTGTTTCTACGCTTTACAATAACGCTACACAACATCTGAATATCGCCTTTGTTGGAACCTTGAATGTGCTTTCTTCAAAGGAAGAAGACAGCATTTATTTTCCTTCATCAAAGCGACTCTCCTCTTAAACTTAATGAGATGCACAGCCAGAGAGCTCCCACAGCACCTACTCAACTGTGTCCACAATGTACAAGTTCACCATACGCTGTCCTTCAAACAAAGACAGTCCATTTTGCACATCCTTTCTGGGTAAGCCCTACAACAATGTAAAGTGGGAGCCCTTAAAGTCCCCTGGATAGACATTAATTCTGAATACCTTTCTAATATCTGCACAGACCCATTCCTGAGAAGCGTAGCGAGCCTCACGATGAAGGGAACTGTCTAGGGATGCTATACATGATGGTTGTATTCATTTAAATACAGGTTGATTTGCTGTAGGTCTTCCTTATATTAAGCACTCTGTTTTCTAGACCTCATATTTCAATATTGAAACACCAAGAAGTTTACAATCTGTTCCTCAAACAGGACGAACGACTCAAAACTACTGCCTTTCACCTCATAAAAGAAGAGTTGATAACGGGTTCCAACTCCCACTCCTCAAGTGAGACGCACACATTTCCATTCTGTCCAATTCCAGCGTAATTGCATCTCAGACACGATTGGATTGCTCATGCCTGGAGAAGCTTCAATGACAAGTGATTTTCTCTATTCAATGATGGCAGGCAAAAGGTACAATCATCTTCCTTTGAGGAAACTCAGACAGAGCTGGGAGGACGAAGCTTTTCTGTGACAAGATTTTCACAGCTAATCAATAAAACCTGGAGCAGATCTAAAGCGTGGGTGAGGAGAACGGAGACGAAAGTCATCGATGTTTGGACACAACGGGTTTGTTCATTCAGAACAGACTCAAATGGTAAAACCACCTGAGCAAGAACATTTATGACCAGTGTTGGGAAAGTTACTTTTAAAAAGTAATTAGTTACAGTTACTAATTACTTTGTCAAAAAAAGTAACTCAGTTACTAACTGAGTTACAAGATTATAAAAGTAACTAATTACCAAGAAACATAACTACTTAGTTACTTTTTTCGTTAAAAAATGCAAGAAAAATGAGTTAATTGAACTTACTTAATTTACTATAAATGACTACATTAGTGAAATATAAATGACTAATGACTGGAACCTAATAATGTGTCCAAATGTTTTTATAAACCTGAATAATTATAAAATAAATAAATAAGCACTTAACAGGAGGAACTACTAACAGGAACATTACACTTATCTAGACTATTAAAAGGTCACTGTGTGATATTTAACAAGACCCCAACCAGGTAACATTTAAAACTGCAAATAGAAACACCTGTAAAGGTTCCCGAGCCTTTAAATGGTCTCTCAGTCTAGTTAAATTACAGAAATGAATGTAATTTTGTACAGTAGTTTAATTTTTCCACCTTCACATAATTGTGTGTTTTAGTAGCATTTCTGTTGCTGCTAGTCTAGTAACGGTTAAATAAATAAATAAAATCCTTTAAAATGACACTAGAAGAGGCACAAGCCTGATGGAGGACTCACATTTACTAACTTGGGTCAGACCCAACCACAGAAGAGCTGAAGCTGGGTGGTGAACACACACAGGTAGTTCTAGTAACACCTGAGCTCCATGACGTCTGAGACTGATGCATCAGTGTTACAGCGGGACTAAAGACATGATCAGAAACAGGTTACAGCTGGATGATCTAGGAAGGCAGAAGATCAGGACGTCTGAGCGGTGAACAGGTGAGCGGACCTTCAGGACGTCACACTAAGAAGATCCACACCTGCAGCCGTAGATATTCATCACGTCTTCCTCGTTCTTCACGGCCGTGATGCACTTGGATGAAAACATCTGCCTCTTTAGCTCCTGATCAGCTGATGACAGCTTCAACACATCGCGCTGCTTAACGCACGCATTTCCTTATCAGTAACAGAAACCACGTTTTGATAAAAGAAGACGTAATTAATTAGATTGCTGAAAGAAATATTTTTTTAGTAACGTGGTTATTTTAAACGGCGTTATTCCCATCACTGCTCTGTTGGGTCTACAGCAGGAATGGGCAATCCTGGTCCACGAGGGCCGCTATCCAGCATGTTTTAGTTTCTTTGTGCTCCAACACCCCTGATTCCTGGATAAATCACCTGTTCAGCAGCTCATCAGGCTCTGCAATATCGTGTGGACATCGGGGGCAGTTCCACTGGACTGGCACACCAGGGTGGTTGTTCCCTTATTTAAAAAAGAGGGGCCGCAGGGTGTGTTCCAACTACGGGGGATCACACTCCTGAGCCTTCCTGGTAAGGTCTATTCAGTGGTTCTGGAGAGGAGGGTCTGTCGGATTGTTGAACCTCAGATTCAGGAAGAGCAATGTGGTTTTTGTCCTGGCCGTGGAACACTGGACCAGCTCTATACCCTTAGGGGATCCTGAAGGGTGCGTGGGAATTTACCCAACCAGTCTACATGTGTTTTGTGGATTTGGAGAAGGCGTTTAACCGCATCCCTTGGCGGGCCCTGTGGGGGGTACTCCGGGAGTACGGGGTACCAGGCCCTCTGATACGGGCTGTTAGGTCCCTGTATGACCGGTGTCAGAGCTTGGCTCGCATTGCCAGCAGTAAGTCGGGCTCGTTCCCAGTGAGAGTTGGACTCCGCCAAGGCTGCCCTTTGTCACCGATTCTGTTCATAACCTTTATGGGCAGGATTTCTAGGTGCAGCCAAGGTGTGGAGGGCATCCGTTTTGGTGGCCTGAGGATCAGGTCTCTGCTTTTTGCAGATGATGTGGTCCTGTTGGCTTCATCAGAACGTGATCTTCAGCTTTCGCTGGAGCGGTTCGCAGCAGAGTGTGAAGTAGCTGGGATGAGAATCAGCTCCTCTAAATCTGAGACCATGGTCTTGAATAAAAAAAGGGTAGAATGCCTTTTCCGGGTCAGGGATGAGGTCCTGCCCTAAGGGGAGGAGTTTAAGTATCTCGGGGTCTTGTTCACGAATGAGGGAAAACTGAAGCGTGAGATCGATAGGTGGATTGGTGCTGCATCTGCAGTGATGCGGGTGTTGTACCGGTCTGTCGTGGTGAAGAGAGAGCTGAGTCAGAAGGCGAAGCTCTCGATTTACAAGTCGATCTACGTCCCTACCCTCACCTATGGTCATGAGCTTTGGGTAGTGACTGAAAAAACGAGATCGTGGATACAAGCGGCCGAAATAAGTTTTCTCCGAAGAGTGGCTGGGCTCTCCCTTAGAGATAGGGTGAGAAGCTCGGTCATTCGGGAGGGGCTCAGAGTAGACCTGCTGCTCCTCCACATCGAGAGGAGCCAGTTGAGGTGGCTCGGGCATCTGGTCAGGATGCCTCCTGGATGCCTCCCTGGTGAGGTTTTCTGGGCACGCCCAACCGGGAGGAGGCCTAAAGGTAGACCAGGACACGGTGGAGGGACTATGTCTCTCACCTGGCCAGGGAACACCTTGGGATTCCCCCGGAGGAGCTGGCCCAAGTGGCTGGGGAGAGGGAAGTCTGGGCCTCTCGCACAGACAGAGCTCAGTCGTGGGGCGGAATCTAGGGTCGTCGTTCAAACTGTCTCTGCGTGCTACTGGGCTGCACCAGGACCAATCAGAGTAATGAACAATGCGACGTGGAAATCAGTCAATGGGGCAGTCTGCCACACTCTGTCGAAGAAGACGCAAACACATCTTTTTTCTAGATAAAGGACTTAAGGACCTCCATCTGCCCTCGACACAAAGAAAAGCCCGTGTCCAAGTTCTTGAGCTGCAGACATCACTGTGGTTTTGCCGTAATGGTGCAAAGTCTCCACAAACGGAGCACTGTGACTGGCCCGGCCTACACTTGGCTGAGCGAATGGTAGGCCTGATGAGGCTGCACTGGAGCGTGGCTAGACCAACCTGCAGAACAAACTTTTGCTGCTGCTACAGTTTGTCTAGACTGGTAGGCTAGTGCTTTTATCCTGGTATCAAAATAAACAAGTACTGAACGCCCCAATTCAAATAAACACAAAGCAAAGGCACAGCTCCACATGTAGCTAATGAAACCCTAAAAAGCTCACCTCCCCAGTTCTCCAGGCTGAAGAGGTTGCTGAAGTTGTGGCTGACAAAAGGAGAGATGATCTTCAGGTCATGGGTGCGAACCCTGGTGGCCAGAAGTGACTGGTGAGCGTCCCTGAACGTCGTGTCCATCAGCAGCAGACCCTGGTGGGCTCGCACAGCCTTGGCGAATCCCTCAGGACCGCGACGCAGCAGCACATCCCGAAAGCCTACAGGTGGGTCACCTAAAGGTGGGACAAAGGAGGGCGTTAGTGATAATCTTAAGACTAGAAATGAATATAAAAATGCAAAGGTAGACTTTTTAAAGCTAAAGTATTAATGAATCATTATCGGGTTTAGCTAAACGGCTAGTTTCTGATCCATACTTAAATAGCACACTGAGCTGATTTATGCTGGCTTCCTTTCATGTTGCTGCGGAGTCATCCAAAAACGTGGGAATTTCACTAAAGGGTCTTGGAATTGAATTTTTCTGGTTGATGCTTCACCTTTCATCCTAAAACAGCTGAAGAACCCTTCCAGGTGAGAGGTGAAGCATCAGGACTTCTAACACCGACATGCACACCCTGACCAAAAGCTAAAGGGATCATCTGTAACGTCAGCTCAGCAGAAGACTCATTAGACAGACCCACCCACTGATTTGTAAAAACGGATTACTCTTGGCGGCGGTGACTCATGAGACTAGAGTTATCCATAAAGCACGCACCCTTTAGTGAACACAGACGTGCAGGAAGCTGAACCTGTGAGGCAGCCAGGTGAAAACCATCCAGCTCCAGAATCCATTTCTACCCTTTATCCGTCTATTAACACGTGACTCATGTCTCCTGTGGTTCTGTTTTAGGTCCCACAACACCAGGTGGTCTCGATGAAGCACCGACTACATTAGGATAAACGTCGACATGACAGGAAGGCTGTGGCGCTAATTTCTTACAGAAATTCATTTAAAAGCCAAAAGCAGAAGAGAGGTAGTCCCGGCGCGGAGCTTCAAGTGGAGGAGGTCAAGTTATGGATGGCTCAAAATTTATTGTTCTTCAACCGAATAAAATTGAGATTATCCTGTTTGGGATGTGCCCAAGGGATTGACTCTCCTTCATTAGCGCCTTTTGAGAAGGCGGTGGTCACCAACCTGGGGGTGAAGTTGGATGTGGAGCTCACACTGGACAGCCAGGTCAACGGAACAATCGGATCCTGCTACTTCCATCTCAGGAGAATAGCTAGGATTAAGCCGCTTCTTTCACGTAAACATCTGGAAACTGTCATCCACGCCTTCATTACCACCAGACTGGACTGCTGTAACTCGCTTTATGCAGGCATCAAGCAGGCCTCCATAGCGAAACCACAGAAGGTCCAAAACGCGGCAGCCAGGTTACTGACTGGTACCAGGAGATCTGAACACATCACGCCCGTCTTGGCATCCCTACACTGGCTTCCAGTCTCTTTTGGAATTTCGTTTAAAGTTCTAGTGTTTGTTTTTAAATGTTTACATGAGTTGGCTCCACGTTATCTGGCGGATCTGATCCATCCTTATGTTCCCTCAAGGAACCTTCGGTCAGCACAGCAAGGACTGTTGGTCGTTCCTAAACACAGACTGGAATCTCGAGGGGGTCGTGCTTTCTCGGTGCTGGGGCCGAGGCTCTGGGATGAGCTACCTGCATGGGTTAAACAGGCCACCACGCTCGGCGAGTTTAAGAGCCGTCTGAAAACTCACTTTTATTCTTTAGCTGTTATTCAGGAAGAGCCTCGTTAACGGATGGCTTTGCACTTTTTTGCTGCCCCACCTAGATTTTATCTGCATGTTTTTGTTGGTTTTTAAATGGTTTTATATGTTTTTATTTTATTTTTTATGTTTACTTCTGCTGTGCAGCGCTTCGTTTGGTCCTTGGGCCATGTGGAGGCGCTATATAAAGTTTAGTAGTAGTAGTAGTAAGTGAAGTGAAGTGGGCCAACACAATTCTAACCAACAACAGCGTTGTCATTTCCTAGTTCTGCAGCGATGGATTCATGATGCCAACGCCCACTGTTGCCAGAGGCAGCTAACTCGATTGGTGCATTTGTGAACAGCCACAGGTGGCCTGAAAGGGAATGTCTGCAGCCACACTGTGAAACAGTTATGTGAAAGGGCCTGTCAGTACTCAGGAGGAGCAGCGCATGCCCAGTCTCTGGCTTCCATAGGTGAATGTCTTTCTGTGAGGATGGAGACAGCCGCCTCGCTCGGGACCGGGATCGTCCACGGAGATTTTCCCTCAGAACATTTGCTTTGCAAAGACGTTTGCTGGCTCCGTTTACATTCGGTGCACACGACTTATTTAGCGACGCTCTGCCTCCTGAGGTACTCGCGAGCCTATGTTCAAGCTTTGTGTCAGTTAAAGCAGTAAAAGTGTAAAACTCATCATCTGAGTTGAGAGGTGTTTATCTAAATAATTATTTACACCTTTGAACGATTTAAAGTTTAACTTCTGTAACAGACACGGACCACCTTCAATCCTAATCTTCCTCTTTGCCATGTGACTGAAAAGCAGCATGACCTGAGGCGATAATAAATGAGAGTCAACACGGATCTATTTTTGCTGTGGCGTGTACGATCAATCAACACGACTAGTTAATGAGGTTTGGGTGGCTCTCCGAGCGTCTCTGCGCGGATGTATTTTTGTTTTACTTCACTGAAAACAAACGGTCTCTGCTGTAATTACTTCTAAGGTGTAGGCTAAATTAGCACCACGTATTAGATCACGTCCAAAATGCTCAAAACAAACAAACAACTAAATGCAACAAACTAGAGGAGCTTAGTTGAGTCCTGCTGCTGAAGCTGTTCAGATCTGTGGTAAAGAACGGAAGAACAAAGAGTGACTAATCATTAAAGTCCGATCCGTCCCACTACGCAGCTCCAGACTCGGACCATATTCTGATCAACTGCAGTCTGTCGCCAGCTTTGTTCTGGACGCGGTGCATCAGAGGGGGTGTGCTGGGACTGCAGTGCCTCCACATGTGTGACAGTTTCCTGGAAAACAGTCAACAATTGAGCGGATTTGTCTTGATGCTCTACTGGGCCAAGAACAACAAAACAAGGTAGTGAAGAGATGCGAGTCCCACATGTTTGCTGACCCACTTCCATACAGACAAAGTTTCTCTTTTACACTGAAAACCTCCCACCAGCCAGTCAGCTCACCTGTGTCTTTATGACAGTTTCTAAACCTGTTCCCTAAGCTTTCCTCACAGACCTGATGCTCCTGTCACCCAAACATACTCCATGTCCTCCGAGTAGGGTTGTCACGGTAACCGGTGTAGCGGTAAACCCCGGTAAAAAAAAAAGTTGACAATAATAATAACCGTCTTGTTTTTAAAAACTATATTATCTCGGTGGATTACCGTGGCTGCGGTGTAGGCGCGGTGACCCTTACCAGCCACCGTATCATCTGCTGAAGTTGCCGGCGGCACATGCGCACTTTGTTGTTTACAACCAAAACTTTCTTGAAGCTAAAGCTGAAATAATGTCCAAAGGAGGAGACGGCAGCACTCAGGACATTTATTATCCCTCAAAGAAGACAAAGTGGGAAGTACGGGCATCTTTTGGATATTTGAAGAATGCCGAGGGACAGTTGATAGAAGACGGCTATCCTGTTTGCAGCACGTGCAGAACAAGTGTCTGTGAAAGGCAGCAACGCTTCAAATCTCATGACACATCTGCGTGACCATCACCCACAACTCTACAGTCAACGCAAGGCAAGCTAACGTTAGCGTTTTAGCTAAAATGCGTGATCCGAGGATTTGGGTTGAGGGAGAATGCAACGAGTCGCTATATAAAGCAGCCGCAGCGCCGCTACCTGCATATAAACCGTGTCGCGGACACCGCCATGTTGAAATGACGCTATGCATTACGGGGCTCCCAGGGGCAGATAAGAGTTGGTCTCTCTCCGAGAATAATTATGAATTTAACAATGATTACTGCCTGATGACATTTTCCCACATCTGCAAAGCTCACTGGAAGGACACAAACCGAGGACAATATTTCCCTGATATAGGGTTTATTACTCAAGTAAGGGTAAAAAAGTATCTGATTAGAAGGCTACTTGAGTACTGAGTATCATCTGGTCTAATATTTTTTAAATGATGACATCAAACAGACAATAAATAAGAAGTTATGGGCAAATATTGGTATTTTAAAGACTAAAGGGGAAAAATGTAAACAAATAAACAACATAATTACAAAACAACACATTTTAGGCAAAATTTAGACAGAAACTGAGGACAATGTTTTCCTGATATAAAGGGTTTATGTAGTTTCCAGAAAATTTAAAATGTTTAAAAAAATACAGCAATAATACCGAAAACCGTGATAATTTTGGTCACAATAACTGTGAGGTTAAATTTTCACACCGTGACAACCCTAACTCCGAGACAAATGAACAGGACCAAATACACAGCCCAGAGGCACCCCTGGAGTCACGCCTCTCAATTAGCCCATGTAGGATTACAAAAAGGGAATTTACATTTCTTACATTCCTTGTAATTTATACTCTTCCTGCACAATCATCAGTCCTAATCCATTGTTGGGATGGTTTCATTATAAAACACAATGACAAAATCATAACATTTAACAGGATACTTTGCAACTTATTCATATTTTTAAATCCTTTCCTTGAGCCAGTATGTGCTAAAATGACCCCTCACAGCAGGGGTATTCAATCCCGGTCCAGGAGAGCTGGTATACATCACATTTTAGTGGTTCCTCTGCTTCAACACACTACATTCAGTGGTTGACTCACCTGTGCAGCAGCTCATCAGGCTCTGCAGAAGCCGGTTAATCACCTGCTAATTTAAATCAGGTGTGCTGAAACAGGGTTTAAGCTCAAACATGCTGGATACCGGCCCTCCAGGCCCACAATTGAATACCGCTGCTGTACAGGATCAATGAAAGGCCACCCAGCCTTTATCGCCCCCTGTGGGCAGAATATCCCACTTGCAGCTTCACAGTTGCCGGTCCAGTCTGTTGGACTTGAGCTGATATACCTGGTGCTGCAGTCTGGCTCCAGAACATTTCCTGCATGTTTTAGCTCATCAACACAGCTGATTTGTTTAATGTAGTGATGGGAGGCTGGGAGACAGTTCAGCTGTTAGTTTAAGGTGGAAACCGGACGAACGAACAGCGAGGTTTTACGTTTGATTCTACAAACGACCAATAGGGGGTGCTAAAAGCAAGCCAAAACAACCGAGTCTCCCTTTTAGGAAA